GATGACCTCCCACAACGTATGCGCGTTTTTTGCTTTGTCGCCGTCGTCTGGTGCCCTCCCCTGCACCCTCTCGGTCTGGTCTTCTGCCCCTGGGCTGCCTTTCTCTGACTGGCTCCTCCCCCCGCCGAACCCGGAAGCGACCGGTGCCAGCTGCAGCATGTCTGTCGTGTGCACGCTCTCGTCACCTTGCACCGTGGCTGTGTTCTGGTTGACTCATAAGGGGGTCCAGCGACAAGGGGGTGGTGCAATAGATTTGGTGCAATAGATTTGTGGGGTTGCAGTACATTTGGGGGGTGCAATACATTTCTGGGGCGCAAATTCATTGCTGGATTTTCTCGTGCAATACATTACCTGTAATACAATGCAATCCAATTCTCCGGCGCAGTACATTTGCAATACAATTGCCCGAAATCTATTGCACCCACTTCTTTCAGCTGGACCCCATTTTGGGTCACCCAAAAGTGTGATGGAGCTGGCCTCCTCCTGGTCCTCTTCTCCTTGGACCTCCCCGCCCTTGCCGGCTGCAGAGCCTGCCGCCGTCCACGCTGCCGCCGTGGACACCTGGCCCCCTTGTGTCTCGTTTCGGTCTTGGCCGCCTGGCGTTCGCTCTCCTCCTCCTCCTCCTCCTCGTTCCTCCTCGTTCCTCCTCCTCCTCCCCCTCCTCCTCCTCCTCCTCCTCCTCCTCCTCCTCCTCGTTCCTCCTCCTCGTTCCTCCTCGTTCCTCCTCCTCCTCCTCGTTCCTCGTTCCTCCTCCTCCTCCTCGTTCCTCCTCCTCCTCCTCCTCCTCCTCCTCCTCCTCCTGTCTCGGTGAGCGCCCTCCGCTCCCCCGCCCGCTCCTCGCGCCCCCCGCACTTCGCAGGTGCCCGCCCGCGCACGGCGCTCCGCAGGCCCCTGCAGCCGCAGGCGGCACCACCCCGCTCGGGGGGGGGGGAGGGGGCGCGCGTGCGAGCGGGGCTCAGGGCGGCGGGCCCCGCCCACGCCCACTGCCACCCTGCAGTGCAGGCCCATGCCAAGGAACACCCTGCTTGCCTCCAGGGTGCCCTTGGTTTCCTGGGTTTTGATGGTTTTGCCATGGAAGGCGTGGTGCTCCCTGACCAAAAATCCATGGACGTTCTGGGGTGTCAGGGTTGGGTTTCTCGTGGAAGGTTTCTTGTGGACTGGCCTCCACTGTACCCCGCCCCCTTGCGGTGGCAGCACGGCTGGTCGTTCAGTATGATGTTCCAACCTACTTCAGCCCTGATCACCAGAAAGAATTTCGAGCACAAAGAAGGTACCGAAGCTGGAGGACTTTCACGTGTCGGGTCCTGCGAGGTGATCCTCGTTCGACCCTGTTTCGACACTTTTCTAGGTGATCGAACCTATTTTTGGGATGCGGTCCTCAGGTACGATGGGAACAACCGAAAGCTTGGGACCGATCCCCGTGGTGTCAGGCACCAGCGCTGGGGCCGGCACGACGCGAAGCCGCGGCATTACAGTCGGCCCGGATTAGTAGGTCGACCCTGCCAGCTCGAGGGTACCCTTGTGTCCTGTGCCTTGCGACACGTGCCTTCTTACACTCCTATGGCGATGTGGCCCTCGGAAGGGTCTTGTGTCCTCTCGCGTGTCCTGTCCAATCAAGGCCGACTGCACGCTCACCATTGGGATTCCCAGAGCTCCGCTGGCCTTCAGCGCGACGCCCCACACCGGGCCGGGGAAGCGCCAGACTGACGACTTCCGCGAGGCTGCGGTCCCGCCGCCAGCCTCCTCAAAAGGGACGCTCCGGGCGCACGTGCGGAGCGGCACGGGCGTGCCCCTCGCCTTGCCTCCCACGACATGCAGATGTCGGGCCGGACGAAAGGGGGGGATAGGGAAGGGGGGGCTTACGAAATCTGCTGCATGCAGCTAGTTTCGGCCCCGCCGAGGGGCCCATTCCTCGATACATAGCCGCCTCCTGCGCAGGGAGGCGCCAGGAAAATCAGCTACGTGAGCTGATTCTCAAACCCCCCTTTGCTATCCCCCCCTTTCGTCCGGCCCGAAGACGGTGGCACAACTTGATATCGGGACTGCTCTTGGAAGACGATCAGTGGAGAGGAGGCGTGTTGCCAAATCATTTCCAGATGTCTAAAACATGCTTGAACTGTGTTGCTCAAGTTCCAAAGCATGTTTCAAACATGTTTCGAACATATTTTACAGTATACAGAAGAGATTTGGACTACATGCTATAATTCAGGGATAGAGCGGTTAGAGTGGTGTCCATGGCCATGGCATGTACAAGGGAATACCGCGCGTCCCTACTTCGCGAACGTAAGGTTAAGTCGGGCCTGTCCCTCTACAGGAGGGATATTCAAAAATCCGCCGACCCTGTCGGCGTGTGGACCCCCTGTCGGCGCGCGCTCAGTCGACGCATCCGTTGTCCTCTTTCCCTGAGTCTCCGTCGTCCCCTTTCCCTGCACCCTTCTCTTCACGCCTGCCAGCGAGAGAAAACCGTAGCAACGTCGTACTTAAGTCGAAGGGAAGCCCCTTCCCTTTGATCCCTCCCCCGCCGAGGGGGAGAGGTCCTCGGGGGGGGGTCCCAGGGGGGGGGTCAGATACGCATCCGCCTCTGGGCGTCCCAGAGCCCCCAAAAGCGCCAAGACACGCCAAGAGGGCCCTAAGCAGACCCAAGAAGAGGACCACGAACCAACATTTCAAGCTTCCCGCCCCAAGAAGCCCCCGAAAGGCCCCGAGAGCTCCTCAAGAGGCCCGAAGAGGCCCCCAAGAGAACCCCTAGAGGCCCAACAGAGACCCCAACAGGCCCGAAAACATCCAAGAGGCCTTTCAACCACAACCCCAGCACGGTGGCGGGAAGGGTCGCAGGCCACAAGGCTCCCTGTCTGTCTCTGGTACGACTCCCTCGGCCCACATGGGGAAGATCTCCTTCGCCTTCTCCTGCTCCCATCCACCTTAATCCCCCTCCTCCTCCTCCTCCTCCTCCTCCTCCTCGTCGTCGTCGTCGTCGTCGTCGTCGTCGTCTTCAGGGTCGGCGGCAACGGCCATAAGGCCTTAGCAATAGTCAAAGCATAGTGTGGGGACGATTCTCTTACCATTCTTGATTATTTTACGATACTTCGTGACTTTTTTTTCGTCCAGACTCGGCCTGTAGGAGGACACGCCCATCCTAAACCTTGCCCCCCACGACATACAAATGGTGGCGCAACTTGACATATCGGGAATGCCGCGCATCCCCACTTCTCGAACGTGAGGCGCTCGCGCGCGGTCCCGTTCCCGACGGCTCGGCGAGGGGAGACGAGAAGACGCGGGCCGCTCCCAGGCGGGCGGGGAGCTTCCAGAGAACTCTTGCGCGGCGCTGCGGCGAGGGCACCCTTTTGCCCTCTCCTCGCGCAGCCACATTTCTGTGGAGCGCGGCGGAGACGAAGCTTGGGCGAGAGCAACCTGCCACTGGATTTCCCAAGGAATCCTCTGGATGTCCCAAGGAATCCTACTCACGTTCTCAGAATGTCTCAAGGGTTCGTGGGCTAACAAAAAGAAACTACCAGCACCAACAAGTTCTCGCGCGGCTCCTGTGCCGCTGCCGCTTTCCAGCGACGCGGCGACCGAGGAACCTGCGCAGCGCCGGAGCGCCAGAGCGCCACTTCCGGGCGAAGCCTGCACGGAGTTTTTGTCTGCGAGGGCGACAGTTCGCTCGCTCGCGCGCGGTCCCGCTACCAACGACTTTGGCGGTTGAAAAATCTGCGCCGCGCCGCACCCAAGTTGGAGCGCAATTTCCAGACGAACTCTGCGGGGCGCCGAGGCCAGAGCGATGTTTCGCCCCCTCGTGTGCGGCCCTGCTGTCGACGAATTGGCGAGCCCAGAGCGTGAACCGCGCCCAAGCGGGAGCTCAAACTTTTTTGGAAGCGTGATCAGAGGCAACGTCGCTTCAGAGGCCACCCAGCCCAGGAACATGCGGATTCGCCATCGGGGGCCTATCGCCGATCTACTGGCGATGCATCTCCGATTCCGGCTCCATGTTCCCCCCCCTGAACCAGTCCTTTACGTCGTTTTTCCTTACCTAGGCTCTGCCTAGAAGGGTTCTTACTCTCTGGGCTTAAAGGGGCCGGGCAGTGGAAAGCGCCCTGGGCGGTTCCCCCAGTATCCGCCCCGCGGTTCCCCCAGTTACGTCCCTTTAGCTTAGCGTCGCTTATCTCATCTTAGTTTAGCTTATTTCATCTTAGCTTAGCTTAGCTTCATCTTAGCTCAGGTTTATCTTAGCTTAGCTTACCTTCATCATAGCTTCGCTGAGCTATAGCATAGCACAGCATAGCATAGCATAGCATAGCGGAGCATATAATAGCGCAGCACAGCATATTATAGCATAGCCCAGCATAGCATAGCATAGCTCAGCATAGCATAGCATAGCGCAGCACAGCACAGCACAGCATTTTTTCACAATATTGATAATAATTCCCTACCTAGGCTCTGCCTAGAAGGGTTCTTACTCTCTTGGCTTAAAGGGCCGGGCAGTGGGAACCGGCCCGGGCGGTTCCCCCAGTATCCGCCCCGCGGTTCCCCCAGTTACGTCCATTTAGCTTAGCGTTGCTTATCTCATCTTAGCTTAGCGTTGCTTATCTCATCTTAGAGGGTTAGCTTAGCTTAGCATAGCGCAGCGCTGCATTAGCATATCATATCATAACATAACATAGCCAAGCATAGCATAGCATAGCATAGCATAGCGCAGCATAGCATAGCATAGCATAGCACAGCATAACATAGTATTGCACAGCATAACATAGCATAGCATAGTATAGCATAACGCAGCCTAGCAAAGCATAGCATGTCATAGCATAGCTTAGCATAGCACATCGCATCATGCCATAATATAGCCTAGCATAGCACAGCACAACATAGCATAGCATAGCATAGCGCAGCATAGCATAGCATAGCATAGCATAGCATAGCATAGCATAGCGCAGCATAGCATGGCATAGCATAGCATAGCATCGCATAGCACCTAATGCTGCTTTCCTAGGGGCTCCAACTTCTAGGTAGGGTCGCACTGGGGTAATTGTTTAAATGAACGTATCGCCGCGGCGAGAGCGAAATTTCGCCCTTTCGTGCGCGATGCGCGACCCGTCCCACTCCTTCCGCGCATTTTGCAACGTCGACGACCACATGTTTCCGGACGGGTCGGATCCTTGGTTGGCCCTGGAAGCGGCAGAGCCGTTTTCCCAACCATCTTGCGGTGTTGGGTCCTCGTTTTGACGAGACAGTGCCTCGCGTTCCCGCTCCTCCTCCTCCCCCTCCTCCTCCTCCTGCTGCTCCTCCTCCTCCTCCTCCTCCTTCTCGTCGTCGTCCTCCTCCTCCTCCTCCTCCTCCTCCTCCTCCTCCTCCTCCTCCTCCTCCCCCTCCCCCTCTTCTCTCCTCCCAACCCTTGCCTTTGCCCTCCGCATGCCCTCCTCGTCGCCACCTGGGCGCATGCAGTCCCACCCCCACTCCCCGGCGCAGCCCTCACGCGCTTCGTGGCCCCAGGGGGTGCTCCGCCGAAGGCCCCAGTGGCAGGGTCCTCATGCAGGTCCACCTCCATGTCGGCGTAGCCCTCACGCGCTTCGTGGCTTTATAGGGTGCTCCGCCGAAGGCCCCAGTGGCAGGGTCCTCATGCAGGTCCACCTCCATGTCGGCGCACCCCTCACACGAATCGTGGCCCCGTAGGGTGCTCCGCCGAAGGCCCCAGTGGCAGGGTCCTCATGCAGGTCAACCTCCATGTCGGCGCACCCCTCACATGTTCCGTGACCCAATAAGGTGCTCCACCTCATCATCCGCATCAGCATCAGTATCAGCATCAGCATCAGCATCAGCATCAGCATCAGCATCAGCATCGGCATCAGCATCAGCATCAGCATCGGCATCAGCACCAGCATCATCAGCATCATCATCATCATCGCTCTCATCATCATCATCATCATCATCATCATCATCATCATCATCATCATCATCATCATCATCATCATCATCATCATCATCATCATCATCATCATCATCATCATCATCATCATCATCATCATCATCATCATCATCATCATCATCCCGCTCCCTCCTCCCTCCCGTTCCTGCCTAAGCCCTCCTAGTCCACAGTTCAGCACACCCCCTACACGGTTCGAGGCCCCACAGGGAGCTCCACCCAAGGCCCCAGTGCGAGGGTCCGCATGGCGGCCCGCCCCATCTCGGCACACCCCTCACGCGGTTCGTGGCCTCATAGGGAGCTCCACCGAAGGCCCCGATGGGAGGGTCCGCATGGCGGCCTCCCTCCCTCCATCTCGGCACACCTTTCACACAGTTCGTGGTCCCATAAAGGGGGCTCCACGCAAGGCCCCAGTGGCAGGGTCCGCTTGTTTTTGTTGTGCAGGCTTTCTTCAGAGCGTCTTGGGACTCTCTCGGGGCGTCTTCTGGGCGTTCTCGACAGTGTGGCTCCGTGTGGGACCGTCTTGCAGGCCTATCTATCTGGCTTGCCAAGGTGAACGCGCGGGGCTCTTGTCTCCCTTGAGGGCTTCTTGAGGGCCTCTCTTCGGAACCCAATCATGCCGTCTTGGTGGTCTCTTGACGGGATGCGGGGCTCTCTTGGGCGGTCTTGGTGTTCACTCGGGGGCCTAATGGGGCGCCCTGAAGCCTGAAACAGTGAGAACGCCGACATGCCGCACGCACCACGCGCGCGTTTTTTTGTTGCCTTTGATGGCTCTCTTGGGGGTCATCTTGGAACCTTCTTGGGACGTCTTGGGAGTCTCTCGGGCTGTCTGAAGGCCCTCTTGAGGCTCTCTTGGACCGTCTTGGTGCTTTGTCGGGGGCCTCTCGGGCCGTCCCGTTGTGGTCTTCGGGGTCTCGGGAACCGTCTTGGGCGTGCTGAAGTCCGAAACGTAGAGAACGCTAATCTACTTCACGCGACAAGCGATAAATTACATTATGTTGCCTCTGGGTGCCCTCTTGGGGGTCCTCTTGGAGCCTTCGTGGGGCGTCTTGGGGGCCTCTTTGGCCGTCTGGAGGCCGTCTTTGGTGCCATCTTGAGCCGTCTCGGGGTCGTCTTGGACGATCTTGGGGCCTTCTTGGGGCCCCGTGGCGCGTCTTGGGTCGCCCGTGGCCGATGGAACAGCTATCAGGCGCGCTCTTGGGATGCAGGTGCCACGGGGCTTCCCTCCCAGACCTCAGATGTTTGGACTGTGTTCGGCGTCGGGGGGAGAACACGCTGGGACTTACATACACCACCAACGCGCGTTGGGTGCGATGCTTTGTGGATTTCCGAGAGAGGCGATGCTGCGGTAAAGCGAGGGCTTGGCACGCACGCAAACAGAAACGCACCAACCGTTGCAAGCACGGTGGCGCATCAGGAGGAGGAGGAGGAGTTTTTTCATCAGCGACGCTCCTGTCAACTCACGCCGACAGAGAAAAAGGCTCGACCTTGTGCCTTCCCTTGAGGAGGCCGGACCAGGTCGAGATCGCGAAATTGCTGGCAGGCTTGTCCAAGCACTTTTTACGAAGGTTTCTGAACTGACCGCCAGTGGAATATGCTTTGCACTCTTCACAGGCATATAACAGAGTGCCGTCGCTGCAATCAATAACTTTCAATTGGTGCTGCATTCGCCCGATCTTGAGGGCGGCCTTGGGCAGGACACCAGAACATCCAGCACTCGGAGGCTTATGATCTGAGTGGCGGAATTTCGGAGAGCGCTGGCATCTCCAACAGGAGCGGCACCATGACCATTCATGCAACTGCACAGGCACATCTGCTGGCCGGCGGCCCTCGCCTGGGGCTCTCGGCACTCCGTCGAGGCTCAGGCGGGGCCAAAGAGGAAGACGTTCAGCCGCCATGGCGCACACCTTGCGAGCGATGAGCACGCGGCGGTCGATCTCGACCAGTTCAGCTGCAGAGGGCATCGGGTGGGACCAGGCACCGCGCTTCGCCGCGGCATCGGCAGCGTCGTTCCCAGTCTTATAAAGCAGTTGCTCTGGCGAGAGGTCGCCTGTGTCAGACACGTGCGCTGTCACTTTAATTACATGTCGATACCTAGTCTGAGACATATTTAAAAGCGCACCAGCATAGAGCCTCTTATATGAAACCTGATGGGGTACAGGAGCCTTGAAAGCCTGGACCACATTGGCGCAGTCCGTGTATCCCGTCGAAGGTCCGCTCAGGAGCTCATTGGTGGCGCCGAGGCCGCAGAATTTACCGGCCTGGGAAGTCTGAGGGAGGAAGCGAGGAACGGGTCCACAGAGGGTGCACTTGAGCTGCCCGGCCTCGTTGTATACAGAAGCCACCCAGCCAGTTCGAGACATCTCCACAATGGGGCTTTTCAGCCTGGAGCTGTCGAAGAAGACGTGGCCTTCGATATCCGTGGAAACGTTGTCGGGATCAACTTCCCAAACCACCTGCGTGCCTCCCTCCTCCACGGGCACGGGGACGTAGTCACCTGGGTGTGGGAATATGGCTTTGGTGAACAGCAACCAATCGGGATCTTCTGGGCCAAGGGCCAGGGCCTGATCGATCAGGGACTGATTCACAATCTCGGAATGCTGCGCACTGACGGCCTGGCATTGCCATAATCGGTGAAACATGGTGTCCAGGCAGCAACGCACTTGCTGCACAGCGACGAGTCCAGGAGGTAGCCACATTCGACAGCTCTGGTAACTGTCCAGCACGCTCCGCAAATTAATGACCTGATACAACCTTTCTCGAAAGGCCCCCACCTACGGGACCTCAGTTCTTTCAGCACGATGTCATAGCACGCCCGAGTTCCGAGCCCCAAAGAAGTCCCAGACTGCCGCTACAGATGCCGAAGGACCCCTTCCCGAAGAAACTTTTTGAGCATCTTGGGTGATGTGGAGGTCATAGAAAACCCGACCTTCTGATCCGTGACGATGTTGGTGAAAGAGTCCATGCTCCAACCGCTCCAGCGAGGCCCGGGTTGCTGACAGGGGGCCCGTGACCTTCTTCCACGGAAGCGGCTCGCCCGAAAAGGCCGTCTCCCAAGCAACCCTGAGCTCCGAGAATCCCAAAGAGTATGGATACTGTCGGGTGGCAGTCGGCCACACCTCCTTTGCATACCTGAGGACCAGGGCGAGGGCAGCGTAGTAGCACGGGTCGTGCTCCAAAATGCTCAGCGCGGTGAGGCCACGGGAACCTGCCGACGGCTTCACCGTCTTGCCGAATGAACGCCTGAGTAGTAACAACTCGTAGTCGGAGGTGCCGTGCACCTCCGCGCCAGAGGTCGCTCCTGCAAGGGGTCCTGCAATTTTTAATCTTTGATTGTTATATCTCTTGCTTCGTTGAGGCCCGCCACTGTCAGCTTGCCTGTCTGTAACTATTTCGCTCAAGTCTTGAGGGCCGATGTGGCAGCAGCGTCTCCAAGACTTAGCTGTCAACGGCCTGCTTTCGTACCTCAGCAGGTGCCCCGCAGCTCCCCCTTGTCCCGCGGTGCCAGCCTGCCCCGCGTCAGCCGCAGTCACTTGCGGATCGTGCCCGCCTTGCCCAAGCTGTCCCGCTCTGAGCTGTGGGAGGCAGCCCGAGGTGACTGAGTGTCCGTCGACGACACCAGCGGCTCCGTGCGCTTGGGCCTTCTGGCTGACGGTGGGCGTCCTCATCGGCGTGGTGGTGAGTTGGGCCGCGGTGCTGGCCCTTGGAGTCCTTCGAGGGTTGCTCAGCCGTGTTCGTGAGGTGCTCGGCGGCTCGTCGGACTCGACTTCTTCGGTGACCATCGGTGCTCACAATGGACACGTTAGACATCCCAGAACCCCAAGTACTCGTGCACTATCCCAATGACGAGGGAGGCATGTTCTGGCATCACCGTATTCTAGTGAAGAAGATCACGGCGGGGGTGTGGATTGCGATTACCCCCGACTTAGAGCTTGTGCGTCACAACCTCTTAGAGCAGCGCCACCTCGTCCTGGAGCGCAATTCCATGTTCCCTGCGAATCGTCGGGGCGAGGTGTATGGATTCGACCCTGTGCCTCGAGCTGAGATTCTGGCTCTGAAAAGGCAGGCTGCAGTTCAGGCAGCAATGTTGGGCGACGGCGACCATGACGTTGAGATGGAGAACTTCGTTTGGGTCGTCGCAGAGGTAGGCCATTCACGGTTCGCCCAGCCCCTGGTCGATGCAGAGTTAGACCAGGCTTCCTTGGGGCAGTCCAAGGGCGTGGCGTTGGTGAGTGGCCTCGAAGTGTTCATAGAGAAGGTTCAGAGCAATCAGTTGCAAGAGTGGATGACCTCACGCAGCTCGGAGGGTGGAGACCTACGCACTTTGGGTGACCACCGGGACTCCGCAGGCCGCCGTCATCTGCCACTTTCAGACGCTATATCCCTGATGCGGGAGACGAGCTTCGACGATTGGGCCATGCCTGGACCGCGGGTCGCCAAGGAGTGGCTTGTTTCAGTTCGGGATGGCCCTGGAGATCTTTCTTCTTATCACGGACAGTGGGTTCGCCGTTCGGGAGTCAGCGAATCCTCAGCGGTGGCCCACATTCATGACGTGCTGTGCGAGTCGGTGCGGCTGGCCATTCAGACAGACCAGCTCGACGTGACGAACTTGTTGAGTTTCGAACTCATCATGCGCAGGATCTGCCAGGATGAGACCGCGGTGGCTCGCAACCCTCGCCGTCCTGACTACGGTGGGCTGGAGGTTTTGCTTCGCGCTCCGACCACCGAGCAATGCCAGGCGAGCACGAACAAGTTCACGGAGTGGGTCACGGGCCGTCTCAAGGAGCAGGCCGCGATCTACAAGCAGACTCGGTTGTGGAACGAGGAGCAGCGGGCCATGCAGAACTCTCGTGCCCCTGCAGACTCAGGCCGAGGACGAGGTCGCGGTCGCGGGCGCGGCCGAGGTGAGAAGGGGAGCAAGGGCGAGGAGGAGGCCCCGGGGTGACCGCGGCCTTCCGGGCCGAGTCCGATCCCCGAGCTCGGCCCGTCGCTCCTGCTACAGATCGGGGACGTGCTACCCGGTGGAGGCCCTCAAGACGGAGGCACGGGGACCCTTTCCCTCTGCCGCATTTTTCGCCCTCTCAGCTCGACAGCTCGGGCTTGGGCCCGGAGCAGCGACAGCGAGTGCTCTCGGCGCGGGCTTCGCTCAACCATCTCGCTGCTGCTCAACCGACTTCAGATAGTGTTTGCCAGGCTCGCCTGTCATCTCGGGCCCCGACTGCCGTTCAGGGATGGATCCTGGACAGCATCACGGAGCGCGTCGCCGCTGTGGGGCCCCCCCCGCCCGGCCTGACGGCCGAGGGGGCCGCTCGCGAGTTGCTGGCTTCTAAGGGCCTGTGCTGCCAGGGGCCGAAGAACCTCGCGCCATTCGATCTGACAAAGCTCAAGGTCGCTAAGGGGCGCGCTCGACCTCGCTCTGTGGCTAACTTCTTGCCGCCTTTGCCCGCGGACATGATCTGCAACCTTGCACTGTGCGTCGAGAAGGATGAGGGGGGGATGGAGTTCACGCGCCAGCGCGCCGATCCTATTCGTCCTTACTGGGATCCTGTGCTTCGCTCGAGTCGAACAGAGCGTTGGCGGCTCTTCAGGGTGTTGTATGAACTAGGGCTGATAACTTTCAGGCGTCGTCTCCGGGCTCGTGCTGCCCTCTTCTTCGTGGAGAAAAAGGAACCAGGTGGGATTATAATGATTGTGGATGCTAGACAGGCCAAATCGTGTCATCGTGCCCCTCCGATTTCAAGACTCGGCTCAGCTGGGGCCCTTGCGGACCTCGACCTCTCCGTGGGTGGCGAGTCCGTCGACGGGGTCGGCAGTGTGATAGGCTGGGGCCCCCGCGGGAACGAGGCCGATGTCGAGGACTGTTTCTACAACTTCGCCATCGATGGCTTGGCGGAGTGGTTCGGTTTCGACGACCCGCTGCCCGCCGCCGAGATCAGGGACACGTGCGGCGTCAACGTCGGGGCGTTCTGGGACCCCGAGCTGAACACGATGGTCTCCGTGGAGGACGACATGGTCTTGTATCCGTGCATGCGCGCTATGTGCATGGGGTGGTCCTGGGCTCTGTACTTTGCGCAGGAGGCTGTGTCCGCTATGACAGAGCGGGCGCTGCGCTCGTCGTCTCTACCGACGCCTGCCATGGTGAAGGAGCATCATCCCGCCCCCGACTTGAATGAGTCTAAGGTCATGGGAAGCGTCTACGTGGACAACATCACCGTCTTCGGCACGGGCGCTTCTCTGGCTCGTGAGGCGAGCTCCGGCCTGCAGGCCGAAGCTGACCGATCTGGTTTGCCTATCACGTGGTCCTACCCTGATGTGGTGACCCACCTCGAGACCGTGGGTGTTGAGATCGACCTCAGGAAGGGGAAGCTTCGCAACAAGGCCTCCCGAGTGTGGCGTTTTGACTTGGCCACCCGCGCTCTCCTGCGTCGTGGCAAGACGCGAGGAGAGCACATGGAGGTCTGGCTGGGCCACGCTGTATCGCTCCTGATGCTGGCCAGGCCCGGGTACGCCGCGCTTTCAGCCACGCACCGGTTCGCCGAGACCGCTTGGGGCGTTCGGGCTCCTCTGCCGCGCGAGGTCATGCACGAGATGAGGTTGGTTGCTGGGCTGGTCTGGCTCGCTGAGGTCGACCTGGCGGCGCCCTGCGTGCCGCGCGTCTACGCCAGCGACTCCGCTGACAACGGGCACGGCCTGATGTACAAGAAGGCCACGGTCGAGAAGATGCAGTCGGCCTTCCGCTGGAAGGAGAAGTGGAGCTTCAGGCAGCACCTCCGTGGCCCCCGCGTTGGTTTGACTTCGGCCGCCGATGTCGCTGAGATGGGCGGCTACAGAGAAGCAGACGAGACGCAGCTGGATCACGAGGTGGAGCCCCGTTGCCGCTCATCCGAGCCGAACGCTGGCTCCGCCCCTGCCGCGGCCTTCGGCCAGTGGCTGCAGAGCAAGGCCGAGGAGGGCTCTGCCCTCGACGGACCTCGTCGGCCTCGCCCTCGGCGTCTGCGACGGCGCCCAGCCGACCCTGACGATCCCGACGCCGAGTGCCTCGGTCAGGTTGGCCCCCTGGCGCCGCCGCTGCCCGCCTCCTGGTTCGACTCGGAGGGCTTCGAGCTGGTGGCAGCAAGGCGCTGGCGCTGGCCTGGAGAGCACATCAATGTGAAGGAGACCCGTGCTGCAGTGATGGGGCTGCGGCATGCCTGTTGCGTCCGCCAGAATTGCGGACGCCGCCTAGTTTCTCTCGTGGACTCCATTGTATGTGTTGGCTGCCTGGACAAGGGGCGGTCCAGCCGCTCAGCAGCTTTGAACGCACAGTGCCGGCGAGCCGCGGCCTACGCAATCGGTTGTAGAGTGCGTTGGAGGCTGCGGTATGTCAACACAACGTTTAACGTGGCCGACGCTCCATCTCGTCGGTTCGAGCACAACTCCCCCGACAAAGGATACAACAGACAGAGTTCGACAGACATGACATCGTCTTCTCCCTCTTACTCCTTTTTGAACGCTGTAGTCAAGACGGGCAGCCTGCCCCCTGGACTCGGTCTCGCAGGGCATCCGCCCGCCGCGGCCGAGAGCGACAAGCATCTGGGTTTGCAGCCTCCCGAGGAAATCGAAGCCTCTCTGCGTCGAGTGTCCCGTCCGCCTTCTACTTCGACACCTTCGGTGACCAGTCGGACCGCCTGTCCCCCTCTACGTCTTTGGCGCGCTCAACTTCTGAGACGGGCCCAACAGGGCCAGGGTTTCTTGGGGCTGTTCTCGGGCGAGGGTGGGCTCTCCAAGGCGTTCGAGGAGCTCGGCCTGTCTACTTGCCCCTGCATGGACATCAAAGATGGGGCTCACTATGACCTCCTGGACCCGAAGGTCCAGAACATCATCTTAGAGGACATTCGAAAGGGGCGCTTCTGGTATGTACATCCTGGGACACCTTGTTGTGTGTGGTCTCGGGCTCGTCACGGCATCGCCAACTATGAGAAAGCCGCGTGCAAGGAGCGTGTGGGTGTAGCTCTAGCGTTGTTCAGCTGTCGTGTTGCTTATGAGTGTTCGCGGAACGGTGTCTTCTGGAGCATTGAGAATCCGAGATCTTCCAGACTTTGGGACTTCGATCCCGTTCGAGAGCTCACTGACCTTCCTGACGTTGTTCGCGTGTGTTTGGTACACTGTAGTTACGGTGCCTCCCACATGAAGCCGACAGCGATTCTCACTAACCTTTCAGCCCTGAGTTCTTTAGCTTCGGTGTGCTCCGGAGATCATTCACATGTTGAGCTCAGGGGTTTCGAGACCGTGACTTTGCCATCTGGGGCTCGTGTTTCTCGCAATCGTACGGCAGGTGCTGGAGCCTACCCCCGCAGTCTTTGCCAGGCATGGTCCCTGGCCGCGGGCATGTCAGCGCCTGCGCGGGCCCGAGGCGGCTCAGGCCCGCCTGACGGCGGGGACCTGGAGGCCCGGCTTCGCGATGCTGCGCGACGGCCGGCTTCGCGCGCCCGGGATCGCCTCCGACCAGCTCGGCAGCGGCTTCAAGCGGAGCCTGACCTCGGGCTCGCTGGCGCCATCGACTCAGCCGACCTCGAGAGCAGGTTTGACCACCTGCGGCCTTTCATCATCTTCGGTCAGGACTCCAACCTCGAAGCAGCAAGGAAGCAGGCAGCCCGCTCGAGGAAAGGCCCGAAAGGTCGCTGGCCGCCGCTCCCGCGTCTCTAGTTTCGTGGAGGCGATCAAGGGCCGCAACCTGAGCTTCGGGCCGGCGGCGCCAGTCCCTGTGGATGGAGGTGTTGCCCGTTTCGGCTCGATCACCTCGACGTCGCTGGAGCGATATGGGACTGCCGTTCGTGATTTTTTTCGACTGGGCGACGCGCTCAGATGACCTCAGACAAGCCCCAGAGTCCGTTATCGATCAGAAAATGTGCAAGTACTTCGATGTCCTCATGAGTGATGCTCGACATGCCGCTGAGGGACGGTACACACTCTGGGGGTATCTGACCTTCTTCCCACGGCCGGACATCGCCAAGTCCGCCCGCCTCGCGATGGCTCGTGAGGCGATGAAGGGCTGGGTCCGCAGGTTCCCTGGCTCCTCACGACATCCGTGGCCGCTCTCAGTCTTCTATTTGTTCATGAGTGTCTTCCTGAAAGACAATCACACCGAGGCTGCCGTGGCCCTGGCCATCCAACCAGACGCCTACCTGAGACCTTCTGAGATATGCGAACTGCGGTGGTGCTCCGTGGTTCAGCCCTCGAAGCTCTCATCTTCATTGTCAAGAAACAAGTGGGCTGTTGTCATCGGTAACTCAGACCTCGGTGAGACCACAAAGACTGGTGAGAGCGATGACACTGTAGTTCTCGACTCTATCGGCCGTGAGTGGGTGGGCTCCGTGCTTCAGATGTGGGCTAGGCGCCATAAGTCTGACACCTTCTGATCAGCTAGTCTTCCCGCGCCTGTCCCTGGCCAAGTATGAAGCACTTTCTAGGAAGTATAGTATGCCCCGCGTGGCCCGTCACTCAGCGCCCAGTCACGACGTGCTGGTGCGCGCGCGCAGTCTAGCAGTTGTTCAGAAGCGCGGGCGCTGGGCCCACGCCAAGTCAGTGAAACGATACGAAAAGAGCGGCCTTCTTCTTCTCCAGGCCGCCCGTCTTCCTTCTGAGCTCGCGAGGCGAGCCACAGCTGCGGGGGCCTCCATCTTTCAGTGCTTTCAGGAGGCCCTCCAGTAATGGATCACGGTATGGGCTGTGATTGCCAAAACCTTTGTTGAATCCTCAGGTGTGCTCGTAGACCGAGTATCCCTTCGGAAGGAACCTTTTCTCTCTGCTCGCCTGGCGCATGTCAAAAAGAGAAGGTTCCAAGATATCCCCAGCGAAGGATCTAACCAGCCCTCTGGAGTGGGTCTCTGGGCCGCTGGAGAAGGGTCAGAGATGTTTTTAATCTTTGATTGTTATATCTCTTGCTTCGTTGAGGCCCGCCACTGTCAGCTTGCCTGTCTGTAACTATTTCGCTCAAGTCTCCCTCCCTTCCCTCCCTGTGTTTGTGTGGGCTGTGATTGCCAAAGCCTTTGTTGAATCCTCAGGTGTACTCGTAGACCGAGTATTCCTTCGGAAGGAACCTTTTCGCTCTGCTCGCCTGGCGCATGTCAAAAAGAGAAGGTTCCAAGATATCCCCAGCGAGGGATCTAACCAGCCCTCTGGAGTGGGTCTCTGGGCCGCTGGAGAAGGGTCAGAGATGTATGTATCTTGCGAAACCATTTCCCCAAAGCACTCTTGCTCTTCTGAAGACGTCGAACTCTGGCCCGAAGCGTGCGAAAACGTTCCTGCTTTTTTGAATCTTTCACCCTCGTGCCCTTCCTCAGCGAGCGACCTGCCGTGTCGTCTACACCTAGGTTGGTAGCCCTGCGTGCCGAAGGACCTCCAGCAAAGCGACCGAAGAAAAATTGCAACTTTTTGCCAAGGGAACACGAGGACGCAATGATCGAGGCCTTATCTTCGGCCACCGACGCGTGCAAATCTGTAGCGATGGCCACCATGATCTTAGAATCAACTTCTTCCACATCGACAGAGACCAAGGACTCAGACCCAGTAGACGAAACACCGTAAGCATTTATGTACATGTCCAGAAACAATGACCTAGGGAGCTCGAGGGGGTCAACCACTGGGATGACATAGATCCGCACGAACGTAGTGGCCATCGAGCAGCCTGCCACCACGCTATTGATGGCATAGAACGGGCCAATGGTAACATTAGACATCGTGAGGAATCTTGCTCCACGGTACGTGCAAAGGCACACGCGAAGAATCTGCACCGGGAGGCCTAATGCACGGGCTCGCTGTTCTAAGAGGGGCAATTGTATGCTCTCGTAGAATTTCTGGAGGTCTTCAAAGCAACGTAGCAGCCGCCCGGCCGCGCTTGACCCCAGAGTCGCTCCGGACCGACAGCCTCCAGACCACATCTGAAGCCCCATTGCACGTAGAAGCCGCCATGTAGCTTTCAGCATTCTCCAGCTCCCAGGCGGACGCCATTCTCCGACGGGCTCTACCCAAGAGGCGGTAAGACGAGCCAAGAAGGCCGATTGGCTGGAAGCCCCTTGAGGCTTGGAAAGGAGGGCCATTTGGAGCACTTGCGTGTGATAAGGCAGGAGCCCTGTGGCCTCGCAAATCTGCATTTTGATGCTGAACGCTGTCAGGCAATCGTCCGACATGCTGGTGAAGTGGCGCATGTGGAAGCAGTCGACAGAAATGCAAGTGTGCGTCGAATAGCTGCGAGATACCTGGCGGATCTGATCTGGGGTAAGAACCTCCAAAGGATCAAGGACGTCCAGGGGATCTGGGTTCCGATCTGGCAGCTTATCGGCTAACCACAAATCTGAGAAGCGGGCGGCCTCCGTCTCCAACAGGGCCAGGGGGGTCTGACACGATGTGGCCGTGTCGCGAAAGCGTGGTCGTAGCCGTCCAAGCCTTGCACTCCCAAGTCCACCTGTGCGCCCACCTGCCTCCTTTGGTAATGCCGTCTAACAGCCAGGGCTGCCGATCTTTTAAGCCCTAGAGCCTGGCCGTAGCAGCGTAAACCCGAAGAGCATCGTCAAGTTCGTCCAACAGTTCGAGCCCTACATGGAGGTCTCAAGATCCATGAATTAGGCCGCCCTGGAGAAAAGAGCCAACCCGAAGGTACTGATCGTTGCAACCATCGAGATGCTCAGAGATGTCCGGAGGAGGGTCCAAGATACAGTGACCCTGTTGCCCAAGAGCGCCAGAGGCCTCCAAGTCAGCCAGACATGCCCTAAACGTTCTCGCCAACCACCTAAAAGAAAACAGGGAGGGGTCCAGCACCTGGTTCCGGTTGGTGTCCATGTCTGCCACAAAGACCCACATGAGCCTGGGTAGGTTGCCCCGAGCGCCATGCCGGTGGAGGGTGATGTGACGGCTCGCGGCAACCTCGATCTCGGCGAGGTCGGCCCACCTGCAGCATCTCCAAGCCTCTGCGCGCACAGTCTAACACCTGATATGCCGACCCGGTTTGGCAAGCGGGCCCCACAGGCTGTTCAACAGGGATTTTTGGCGGCTTCATGAAGCTGAGCGCCTGCAAAGACGTCACATTCTCGAACAAGTTCACTCGAACGGGGGCGTGGGTCTTAATGTCAGAGGTGGTCTGAACCCCTACAGATTCCACACACTTGCCAAACCCTGCCGAGATAATGAAATAGTCAATCTTGCTGGACTTTCCGCTTGCCTGACAGGTGTCGGCCTCGGGGGCCATGACATTGCAAGCGATGCGCTTGGAACAACTACTCTGCTGCAACTCGCTCGGAACCATGTTGAAGTCCGCGCCGATCAGCCAAGAGCTACTCAAACCATGGACAGCACTCCCCAGGGACGTCAGGATGGAGCGGTTCTTCTGAGACAGCCCCTCGCTGTCGCCGAAGTAGGCGCTAATCATATTTGGTAGCCCACCCTGGATCTCCACGACACCAGCAATCGCTCGACCAGGGAAGAGATCAGACCCAAAATCAAGGCTTTTGAAACCGATGTAGTTGCGTACCAGAATAGCCACACTTCTCGACAGGCCCCCACCAGGTCCAGCTTCAGCCTTCAGGAAGACGCTCTTCCAGCCGCTGTTGAAGCGCCACTGGGACGCTTCGTTGCAAAGATCCTGAGAGTCAAGACGATGGTCCTGGACCAAGACAACCTGAGCCTCCGTGACAGCAAGCCAGGGTTTATCGAACTCCACGCTGTCACATTGACCGTTTCCACGATGAGCTGATGCGCGTTTCCTGGCTGGCTGGCTGGGGAGCCGAACAAAACTACCAGAGGTACCTGGTGGCAAGATACATGGGTGCTTCGCTGCGCCACCGTGGGAGCAGCCCTTCTCCGAGCGAGAATGCCCGGTTGCTACCTACACCCAGAGCTGCACTACGACCAACACTGCTCGAAGGCACGTGCGAAAAACGCATGCGAGGAGGGAGGGGGGGGGAGGACGAAGAAGAGGCGAAGGGGCGGGGAAAGAGACAGAATGTGGAGCGACGCACTTCACACTGCTGGCTGTAAAAGAAGCGTGGGTGCTCAGAAAGAGAGAGAGAGAGAGAGAGAGAGCGGAGATACCGACCCCCACAGTGAAGGAAGAGGCGGAGGAGGAGGAGGAGACAACCCCGCCCGACAACGATGGTGGGGGAGCAGGATTTGTCCCCAGGGGTTCGGCTCCCAGGCCGCTAAAAGGAAATACTCTGCTCAGACGCTTCAAATTCCGACGAATTGAAACCCCTATCGATGCCTTTGTGGAAGGTTTGCCTTGAAAGTTCGAGGAAAATGAAAAAGAACCCCGCTGCGCTGAAGCTGCTGCTCGCTGATCACATAGGGCCCCCCCTCCGCCGTGCCCCCCAGCGTGGGGGGAAGTTATTGACAACAGCTTCGCAGCACGAGCTCGCACATCGCCTGAACCAGGCTGGCCAGGGGCAGACCCGGCAGCATCCAGCTCGCCGCAAGCTGGGACAGGCCGGCCTTCAGCTGGCTTGTCAGCAGGCTGCCCTGCATCAGCAGACCTCGCTCCACCGCCGCGTGCTGCGCTTGCTGCTGCAGCTGCTGCTGCTGCTGCGTCTGGCGCTCCTGGCTCCGTCCGCCGCTTCTTGGCTTGGAGGCGGCGCATGTGATCAGCATGCTGCGCCTTAGCCTCCTGCGCCTGCTTGACCAGCGGGTCCAGTAAATCCTTCGCCATGGTCTGGATGGCGGCTCCCAGCTGCTGCTTCCTCTGGTCGATCTCCTTGAGGTCAGCCTCCTCGATCTCCTGGTCGAGCGAGGCGTCGGCGACGAGCTCGTCCAGGTCGATGAGCTGGCTGCGATCGGCCGAGCCATCCACCAAGGCAGACAGCTTGAGAGAGCATGCGGGTGAGCCTGAGCAGGAGCGTCTTCATGTCCTCGACGACGTGAAGCCCGGAGCTCCTCGACATCTGCTTGGTACTTGCTGTCCGCGGCCTTGAGCTCCGAATTGAGACTGCCGACGTACGCAATCTGCGCCACCACTTCGGCCTGCCACTGTTCCAGCTTATCCATCTCCGTCTCGATCTTCCGCTCCAGGCGGGTGACCGCAGCGTTGCTCTGCTGGATCCGCTGGTGGATGGGCACGACGGCGGGGTGGAAGACCGCATCGAGCTTCTCGGCCATCTGGCGGAAGCGGGTGGCGCTCGCGATGTCGCCGGCCTTGTGTGAGAGAGCCGCCAGCTGACGAGCCTCTTCAAGAGAGAGCTGGGGCTGTGCTCCCACCTCGAGGGGGGTCGAGACCACGCCAGCAGCTCCTCCACCTTTGCCACCCCCAGCGCCGTTGACTCCCTGGCGGCCGCCTTTGCCTCCGTCAACTCCTGCGCCTCCCGGAAGCCCGTGGACACGAAGAGCGAGCCCAGCGCACGGAGGAGCAGCGAAGACACCAAGAGGGCCGCCATCAGCCCAAACCCCATGCGCTCCGGGGGGGGGCGCAATGCTTGCAGAACCTGGCCGACGCCTCGTTCTTGGCGCAGCCGCAAGCGGTGTACTTGTGACCGAAGGTTGGTGGCCCGCGCAAGCCCGACTGCCTCTTTGGGTTGCGGCCACCTACTTTGCCGTGTTCGCCGTCGCCTCGCCAGGGCCGACGCGAGAGGTCGTCATGGTCAGGGGGTGGCACCATGAAGAAATCGTTGTGCTCCTCCAGGAGCTCACAGAAAACACAATGCCGAGCCAGGGAGGCCCGTTGGCGCAGCGCCGCTCTGAAATTAACGACAACAATCGCAGGAGACCCGTGGGAGACCTGCGCCAGAACGGCTCAGGAGGAGGAGGAGGCGAAGGAGCAGAGATGCCAGGAGCCATGAGACGGCAGGATGAGACAGGAGGTGAGATGGATTCGTCTGTCATTGCGCACATCATTTGTTCCGTGACTCGGCTTGAAGTGATCCGCAGGTGGCGGATATTCCAATGCCGCGCCGCCCCCCGGGAGCTACCCGGGCTCGTATCCGTGCTCTCCTTGCTCATGTTCCGATGTGCGTCTCTTCGTCTCCCCTGCTTCCTGCATCTTGTGTGTTTGTCATCGCCCAGGGTTGCTTGCCGTTTTGCGCTTCAAGGGGCTGCTCCGTGCCCTCCAGAAGAAGGGCCACTAGAGTGTGCTGGTTTTCTTCCATATGGACTGGTTGGGTGATGTCGTTTCGGCGATTGGTGGTAGCATAATGTGTCACGACAAACGCTGTCAGCATGCCGTTTGCGCAATATACTTTGGACATGCGTTGGTATGCACAAGAAACAACAACAATTAGTACATCTCTCGGAATGGTGCTCTGTTGTTTTCCGAGGGGGGGGGGGCGTTTTTTTTACACCACCGGTTGGTGATACACAGACCGACTTCTCGTATTTTCGACCATTTGCTCACATTATCGCTAAGGGCAGCCGCCTGCGCTTGGCGCCTGCACGCAGTGGCAGCCTCAGTCAGGATGCTGGCGCGAATGTTTTTGTTTTCCTTTTGTATACGCCCGTTGGCGGGCTGTGGATACTTTCGCGGTCCCCGCAGGAGGAGCAGCACCAGTAAAGTCCCCGTCCCCCAGGGGACTTCCCCCTCCCCGTCCCCGGTGATTGCGCGATTGCCAGGCGATCGCAAACATGGATCAAGGGGGTGTGGATTAGCGACGGGTCCCGTTTCCATGGGAAATCGCGGATGTCCGCCGCCGAGCGAGGCGGCACCGGCTGTATTTTGGGGATGGCATCTCCCCCGATCCATGGATTTGGCGACCGTGCGCCAAATCCATTGATCGCTAATCCGTGTTTGCGCGCCCCCGAGAGGGGGAGGGGGAGGGGGAGGGGGAGGGGGAGGAGGAGGAGGAGGAGGAGGAGGGGGAGGAGGAGGAGGAGGAGGAGGAGGAGGAGGAGGAGGAGGAGGAGGAGGAGGAGGAGGTGTCTTCGGTCTGCCTGCCCGCCTCCGCCCGCCCGTGCCCATCTCCGCCGCCCGCCCACGCTCCGCGCCTCGGCCTGTGCCTCTCCGCCCAGTGCGTCTCGGCTTTGGTTCTGCCTCTGCCTCCGCCTCCCGCTCCCTTGCGCTTCCCCTTCCCGCCATCCCCCTACCCGTTGATACCCTTTCCCCGCTCCCATGCTCCCTTCCTCCTCCCTCTCACCCCCCTCCCCTCTCGCCCCCCTCTCCCCACCTCCCCCCTCCCCCTCTTCACCCCTCTCCGTCTCCTGCACTCCTCTTCCCTCCCACTCCTTCCCCTCCCCCCCCCTCTCTCCTCCCTTCCTCTGCTTCCCCCTCCTCCCTCTCCCCCCCACCTCCCCCCCCCTTTCCCCTTTCCCCCTCCCATTTCCGATCCCCCCTTCACCCTTCCCGTTCCCCCTTCCCCCCTCCGCTTCCCCCTTCCCTCCCCTTCCACATTCCCTTCCTCCTAGCCCTTTTCCCTTTCCTCCTCCCCTGTCCCCGTTCCCCCTTCATCTTCCCGTTCTCCCCTCGCCCCTCTGTCTTCACCCACCTTCCCAGACATTTGCGCGTCGTTGGTGTTCGTATGTGTAGTCTTCCTCGCAGTCCACGTGGTGATCCGACCGCCGCGTGTCGTTCTGGAGAGACGTTGCCGCGACGACAGGTACGGCGGAGTGGGCGGCGCTTACCCCGCCAGCTACCCGAGGAAGCAATCCCTCTGCTTGCCGAGATCTCCGACATTGCGTGCTTTTGTGAATCCCGACATCCTTATTCAACTGCCTGCGGCAAGTCCCGTCACCGTATTGGCTCAGCACCTCAGGTGGCGACTGTTCGTGAGTCGCACAAGAGGGCCGTACCGTGTGACATCTCGTGTCCCGAGGTTGGAAGCGTCGTGTCGGGTCGGCGTCATCTCAACACACTGATACTATGTGTGCTTCGCCCCCCAGGGGCGACGTGCGCACCGAGAAATCTCATAGTATATGCGTCGTGGCAGGCGCTTTCTGGCCACAGGGCTCGGGAAACGATGTATTACACGATGGGTGCACCACATGTTCGGGTCGGACGCACGCCTTCACGGAGGACACATGGTGCTGGCACGTCCTCGTGCGCCCCGTCGGTGCTTCCCTTCTCATTTTCGTCGTATTCCTCCCTCTCTTCTATAGGACCCTCGCAGGGCCGTCCCCCTTCGGGACGCACGCTGGTGCCTCGCGTTGCCTCGCCTCCCGTTGTTCCTTTCTTTTCGTGGGCTCTGGGGGGGGGGGGGCTCCAGCTGAGGAGTTGGCGTTCACATTTTTTCGGCTGCTTCGCTCACGTTGCTCATCGGCATGTCCCTTGCCGTTTTCACCGCGGATCGTGTACTGGTTGTGGCACTGCTCGACCTTCCTCATCTGGGGTGTATGTGGCAATCTGGGCATGGTTACATGTTTGGGTTTCGCGGGTGCGTTCGTCTGCCTTCTCATCGTGTTCGTCTTGATCCTTATCTTGCAGAGGGGGAATGTTGCCAGGCAATGGGAAGTTGATGTAAATGGGCTCTTGGGGCAGTCCTGGGGTCCTTTGGACCACTCTGGGCCGTCTTGGGGCCCTCCTGGATCGTCTTTGGGGCTCTCTCGGGCTGCCTTGAGGCCTTCGTGTCCGTCTGTGGGGTCTTCATGCGGCTGTCGTGGGGCCGTCTTGCGCTGCCGAGGGGCTCTCGAAGGCAGTCTTGGGTTCCTTCGAAGGCCCTCGCCGTCTTGGGGCCCCTTGAGTTACCTTGAGCCATTTTGGGCCGCCTCAATGCTATCTTGGGCCGTTCCGGAGGTATGTTGGGCCATCTTGGCGGCCTAAGTTGATTGCATCGGCCGTATTGGAAGCTCGTTCGGGTCCTGAGTTTTTTTTTGCAAGCAAAACGTTAGCCAGCGTGGACCAAAAACCAGTGTGTTTCTACCAATCTAGGTGCAGCATACAGGTGGTGCAATTTAAGTGGTACAATGTATGTTGTGACATCGATGTGTGGCAATCTATGTAGTGCAAGTTGTGTGGTCAAGCTATGTTGTGCAATCGATGCTGTACCATATCTATATTGAGCAATCTATGTGGTCTGCGATACATGTGGTGCAATCTATGTTGTGCGGCGGCGACGGCAGCAGCATAGCCGCCAGACCGCCACGACGGCGACAACACAGCCGCCAGACCGCCACACAGGCCCAGGCGACAGGCGGCGATGAGGCGGCGACGGGGCGGCGACGGCGACAACATAGCCGCCAGATGGCCACACATGCTCATGTCCTTACACAAACATTCAGCAACCCTAAGGGCAAACACAGTTTCGGGAAGACATATCTCATGGTCTTCGGCCAACCCCGCCACCGTGCCTGGGTTGTGGGTGAGAGGCCTCTTGGATGTTCGTTGGGATCTCGTGGGGTGCCTTTCGAGAGCCTCCTTGAGGCACCATTATATTGATACCCCAGGGGGGCTGTTTTGGGACCTCTCGGGGTCTCTTTCGGGTCTTTTGGGGGCTTCTCGGGGCCGAGGGCTCGAAATGCAAGTTTGGGCCTCTCGGAGCCGTCTTGGGCGCCTTTTGTTTTGGGCCGTCTTGGAGGCGTCTTGGTCCGTCTTCGGGCCCCCTGGGGCGGTCTTGGGGTCACTTGACGGCCTCTTGGGCCGTCTTGGGACGATCTTGGGGTCCTCTGAAGCCGTCTTGGAGCGTCGGGAAGCCGAAAAGGCGATACCGCCCAAATCTGGCAAGCACCGAAGGAACACTACGGACTTTTGCCTCTGGGGGTCCTCTCGGGAGGCCTCTTGGAGGCCTCCTGGGGCGTCTTGGGGGCATTTTGGGCATTCTGGAAGCTATCTTGGGTGTCCTGGACCGATGTTTCGTCGATTCGAAGCCCTCTTGGGCCGCCATGGGAGCCTCTTAGGGCCCTCTTCGCCCCTCTGGGGCCCTCTTGGGGCCCCCAGAACCGATGCGGGGAGGCGCTGAGATTTTTGGGCTCGGGTTTTTGTAAAGAACCCTCAGCATCGAGGACAGGGGGCTCCGTGGGGATCGCACATTGGACCTGAGGACGCTCCAATTCGTGCCTCGGATTATGGTGTTCCAACTTGTTTCATCCTTGATCACCATAAAGAATTCCGAGCACCAGGAAAGTACCGAAACTTGAGGGTCTTCACGTATCGGGCCCTGGGAGGCGACACTCCTTCGACACCGTTTCGGCACCTTTCCGGATGCT